TGACGTTATTAACATTATACAAGGTGCGGATTGTTACGAGTTTGACAATAATTAGGGTATAGGTTTAAACGTTAGAAAGACGATTTTTGTACCTGAATTTATTTCCTATCCTATAAGATGTTATTTCCTTGGAAGTAGCGACACGACTCCCGTAAGACGTTACAACTTTCGTTATTTCCCACCCCTTTCAAGTATCGCCCCTACTCCTTCGCTCAGTTCCTCATTCGTCCAACACCAACGCGTATTTCCTACTTATTTACTTACAAACATATGCACGCACTTACTTACCTAATTGCCTAAAGTGCCTACATACATTCCATATAAAATCTGTCCATTTAATAATCTACAAAACTAGCCAAAATAATAAAGCTGAAAAGGATAGGGAACAAATATACAGAGGGATATAGGAAAGAAGTAGTAAAAGTCTATTTTTGGGCCAACAGGCTGGAGTAGATTGTCGATGTCGATTGTCGAATAATAATTCTACGTTATATGCAACTTTTAAAATCTGTGATTCGCTGATTGTAGAATGTGGGGTAGGTCCAACTTGTACTCAAGGGGGTTTGGTCCAACTTGTACTCAGGGGGGTTTGGTCCAACTTGTACTCAGGGGGGCTTGGTCCAACTTGTACTCAGGGGGTTTGGTCCAACTTGTACTCAGAGGGGTTTGGTCCAACTTGTACTCAGGGGGGTTTGGTCCAACTTGTACTCAGGGGGGTTTGGTCCAACTTGTACTCAGGGGGGTTTGGTTCAACTTGTACTCAGGGGGGTTTGGTCCAACTTGTCCTCAGGGGGTTTACTCTAAGAACAGGAATTTTCGTTGCCTTGTTGCAATACAACATCGACATTACACGTCTCTTGCCATTCTTCTGGATTGTCGACTCGAACTGACACTGCCTAAATATTATTTAATATGCGGAGGATAATCCATCGCTTGCGACCAAATAGACACTATACATACTATAATACAACGTAAAATAAATCGCCGATAAACGAGATGATTGAATTAAAAAAACGTGAATAACAATTGAACAAAAGGCGAGAAAATTTTATTAAATGACAGTACACGTTCTACTCGCTTTCGCGTTGATTAGTCTTAAAATAGTCTTCATTCTCCCCTCGGATCCTATGTCGTACGTCTGTGGGAACGAAATCCCTTCAGGCCTCTGGTATAAATTCTGCACGCATTGTTCCCACTTAACTGGCGACACGATTTGTTTCCATATGTACTTTTTCATATACCTTAAATTGCCGTACGCCATGCCTCTGTAATTGGAATATACTTTACACCTGGGTTCGTGAACTTCTATCGACTTCAGCACGTCAAAGATGGATTTCAAAGCAGGCTCCATCAATGGCGTGTGAAATGCTCCTGATACGGGCAATTTGGTAACGTTAGTTAAGCCATATTCTTTTGCATGTTTCTGTATAAAACCCAACGCTTCCTCGTTCCCTGCTAGAATCTTCCTCTCCGTACATACAAAGATGGCGACTCTGCAAAATATACAAATTCGTCAATTATAATAATTCTAAATCCATTCGATTATCAAAAATGAAGCCATTGTCTGATACTCACTTGCATACCGGATTTTCTACACCCCTGTCCCTCGCCCAGACTGTTGCGTCTGTGCAAGCCTTCGCAACTTTCGCCTCTCTTAAACAACTCACAGACATCATCCCTTGTGGAGTCATATTCGCAGCAAGTTGCATAGCTTTACCTCTGGTCCAAACCAATCTGACCCCATCCTCAAACGTTATAGCACCAGAGAGTATCAGAGAAGTTATTTCTCCTACGCTGTAACCAGCTGTGGCAACGCAGGCATCGAATATTTTACTGTTTTCTTCTCGGATTTTTTCTAACGCAGCCAAAGACGACACTACTGTGGCGATTTGGTTGTACTCTGTTCTATTTAATTTCTCTTGTGGACCCTCCAAACACAATCTCAGTAGATCATAATTAATTATCTCTTTAGCTATGTCGAACAGTTCTTTGGCACCAGGATAGTGCACGTACTTGTTAACCATACCAACTTTGAGGGTCCCTTGGCCAGGGAACAGGAACACGGATGTGTCCGCCGGGTCGGTCGTCGCTTTTGGTTCCTCTGGTTGAACTACAGGCGCGTCTCGGACGTAAGGACTCGTCGCCCATTCTTTATTCTTAATATCACTGAACGTTGCTGCTTCCTCAAGCAATTCTGATACCTCCCTCGTTCTATATTTGCGAGAATTTTCGTTATCCTTCTTTTCAGGATTCTCATCCTCGCTCACAGTAGTCGAATAATTGCAGATGTTACTAATTCGACTTGTTAAACAAGTCTTTCGTGCAGGAACAAGTTTTCTAAACGATTGTTTAAGCATTTTAGTTCAATTGTTTTTCTACGTTTATACATAGAAATTACATATATTCACACAGTATATATATATTCGACGTTAATTTCATCATTTACACAGAATAACAACAATATATATCAATTAGAATACCAGATCATAACCTCGCTTTGAACTTATACACGTTTTGGGCAAAGTATAATGAATTAAATATGATCTTTACTATAATAAAAACATAAAGCTTGTACAAAGCTAATATTTTTAAGGTTTTTTCAAATTTTATTTGAAAAATAGTGTTCTATTCGTACTGAATTCGTGCCGCATGTGTTATGTACATATATTTAGAAAGTTATATACCCAGCATGGGTACATAGTGGGGGTTTTTTATAACTAGGCGTCTAAAAGCATGCGCATGTCACAGCTAGGGAATCCCACGTGACCGCAAGCCCGTACATAATTTTCAACTTTCGACAAAATTGGGCCCACTACTGAGAAATATTGTTTGTACATTCAAATAAATTAAACAAATAATTATTTTAAATAACATGCAGTCAGATAATGTAATATTTAATTTTCAAANCCAGCGTTCGGTCCAGTTCAGAAGCAAAAATATCTAAAAAAAATTTCCTAACTAAAATATATGTTAGATCGTAAGAATAAATGAAAACGTATTACATTAAATAATATAATTGTATAAAAAAGGAATCTGAGTGAGTCGCTTTGAGTGACCTCTCGAGGGACATAGTCGGTACTAATTCGTTTTAAGCGAACCTCGTCTTAAGTCTTAACGTCGACGACTAATTCGCATCATACGAATTAGTGAAAAAAAGCGGTTTGAAAGCGGCATGATATTGAAATTATAATCTATCGACGACGTAAACATATTTAACAATACCATGAAGCTGGTAAGGTACGTAAACGAACGTAACGCTATCCGTTCATCAATCCAGCGCGTTACATCTTTATTATGAACGATGTATCTCACGATAGCATCTTCCCTTTCGGCGTTCGAATCCATTGTTCGGCACATAATTATTATTAAATTTATTACAGATTCTTAATGAAACTTAGTCACGAGACTGTAACGATAGAACTAAAGAACGGTACTCAGGTACATGGCACTATTACGGGTACGTAACCTAACTTAACCTATTCGTTGCATCGTCGACGTTTCGTTAATATTCCAATTCATTTATAGGCGTAGACGTGGCTATGAACACGCATTTGAAAACCATTAAAATGACTATTAAAAACAGAGATCCTGTACAATTGGATACGTTAAGTTTACGCGGGAATAACATTAGGTATTATATATTACCAGACTCGTTACCGCTCGAAACGTTACTTATAGATGACACACCAAAAGCAAAGGCAAAGAAGAAAGAGGCAGCACGAGGTATAAAATACGATAGGGAAATAAATTGCTTTCATTGTTTTACTATTTTCATAAAAATGGTAGCGTTCCTAAGGCAAGTTTGAGTGAAGTTGGCGGTTAGCCAGTAGGACGTTACTCCATTTCTTTATACAAGTGAATTTGACTTCGTTTTAAGTTCGTCGATTCGAATGATAGTAAATGAAGTAATATATTTACATAGGTGCAGCTCGTGGGCGAGGTCGGGGTGGTCGTGGTACCAGAGGAGGACGCGGTGGGCGAGGTAGAGGAAGGGGCAGACGATAACTATAAATTTTCGCATCATTCCGTTTCAATCATCAATCGAACTTTTTTCATTCGAGATTAAAGTATTTACGCGAACCATTGTACTATACAGATAAGAATAAATTGTATCACTTGTCTAAAATTAGTGTTCAATTTGTACAAACGGAATTACGGAAATAGTCAATCTTAACTATGTTTGGGCCTCTCATTCTCTTCGTAGACGTGAGACTATAGTGGGAGAAATGAATTCTGTGTTCTACCTCGTTTACGTTATACCTTCTTTATTTCAAAAATTATATCATGTACTTTCGTTCACCACCTCCGTCCTTGAGAACCAAAACGCACCAATGCATCCTTATTCTTAACTCTCCTATTCGAATCTTTGATCCGATTGTTTATTAAGAAAAGTCTGATAACAAAATAGGTAAAATAAACGAAGCCAATTTGGACGAGGTGGCGACTATACTTGGGGACGTACCGCGTAACATGATATACACTTAATTGTGTTCTATAAAATATGAAACTTTCATTTAGTTTTAAAACGTATGTACAAAATACATGTCCGTGTAATCTTATGGCATGTGAGTTATAATAATTACATATCGCATTGCACAAATAATTATAAATGTACCAGCGGGGCCGATGGTGGGGGGGGGGGGGGTGAGAGTAGAGTACAAGTATGGGAATTTTTGGGGGGGTGTAACACATAAGAAACGATTTGGAAAAAACTTAATATTTCACGAGATAATCGATTTTTACATTGTTTAAAACATAATTGATGGCGGCGATGCCTCGTCTTAATTACATATACAAGATGACGTCGAAAGAAAAATAGTATGCTAGTAACAAGATAGGTAGGTTTAATCGTTAAAAAAGAAGCATTTGTTCGCTCGCGTCGTGTACAAGGATATAATAATAATAATAATAGATCGCAATATGAAATAAATCTTTTAACAGTACAACAATATTTAATCTGCGCGCGCCACGCCTTAGGCGATGGCGG